CAAGTGGAAGGTTTTATATAGCACCCAGAGAGACATATATATTACATGGCGTGCGATGTGTGTGTATACAGTGCAAATGGGCCTGTAAAAGTCAATGGAGGCTATAGTAATAAGACTACGGGGAGTACTGCAGTTTTAATGACAATGATGCTACTGAGCGGTTGTGTAAGCTAGTTTGTGTAATGTAAGAGAATGGCAGACTAATATCCCAAGTCAGTACTTAATTCACATACAATGTTTTATGTCCAATTAAAAAGTAAAGTGTTGGTCATTGATGAAGACCTACTGTGCTTGTATTTGATATACAGTTATAATCTTTGACACCCAGAGATCATTATGTTATCATCTGGACGTTTTCATTCACAATATTCACCATCCGACTTAATAAAAGAAACAAGACCAAAAAAGAAGTCAGCGTCTCCTATAATATATAATGTAATATAATAATAACATTCAAAAATATTTTATCTGTACATAGAAGTTCAAAGATAATGTCTGTCTTGGTCAAGTTCTACACGGGGTATTTTAGAAAACAACCAGAAGTCTACATCTTCTCAAAAAGTGGTACTATGAACATATTCAGAGAAGAGATGCTCTGTTGTTTCTATGTCCACATCACAGAAGGAATATTTATGACATTCAATACCAAAGCGTGTTCTAATACTCTAAAGATAGAGCTTTTTAATGAACGTCTTCTGCTTTTGGAGGAATGGGGGAGTTTAAAATCATTTGTTATAATTTTGATCTTTTCTGGGTCGTTATAGTACTGGGCAACATTGTTTGGGTTGTGTATGAATGGATATATGATTGTGTTAAAACATTTTCTTAATTCAAAGTTAGTAAATTTTCCTTTTGGGAATTCTTTTTTATCCATAGTTTTGGAATTTCTAAAAAAAAGTTATCATCTATGAAATCATTACAACCTTTTAAATCTAAAGGTTTTTAAGTATAGCATTAATCATCTTTTTATATTCCTTAGATGAGGTATTAACTTCCTATTTAGTTGTAAATTCATTGCGGGACATGAATGTGTTATTACCACAGACCAAATATTATTTTCTTCCACTTTTGGTTAAACAGAGATTTGTTTCTAATTGTAATACATGTACAATTCCAAACTGGTGTGTTATGGAGACTAAAGTTATGCTTATATGTGTCTTGAAAATGAGAGATTAGAAATTGTTCAAACATGCATGAATCATTCAAAATACAACTTTGAGAGAGTAAATGGTGTCAAATAACATTACAGTCACAAACTAGCAGTGGTGGAATACTATACATTTTACATTTTAGGTATCTGTACATTTAAAGTGGATACTTTTTACTTTTACTTTACAATTACACTTGAGAGCAGGTATCTGTACTTTCTACTACTACTTTTTTGAATGTTTTTATGAGTATTTGAGACAAGCTCACAAAATCTGCACAAAATGAGTTTACTTCTTAGTCTTCAAGTACATTTTTAAATAGGTGCTTTAATACTTTTATTTAAATTGATTTTTTTCATTTGATACGTTTACTTTTACTTGAGTACTTTTTGCTCCAGTATTTATACTTTTACTTAAGTAACAAAATTGAGTACTCTTTCATCACTGTCAGCTAAATAGGATTAGTTTTTCAGCATTCATTTTTCAGTCTTTGTTGAAAATCAAGCAACTAAACAGGACCATGAACTCATATTGATCACAGACTCCGGTCTTTTAAATCCAATTTGTATTTTTTTCTTGAATTTCCAGACAATATAAAAACTTGTCAGGCTGTGTTTGCTGACATGCTGCTTAACATTCCGCCCATAGATATGTGTACAAAACCCCTCGGCACGATGTAACTGCAAATGACCAACCGTCTTAATGAGAACATGCCTTTTAATATGTGAAATTGAAATAGCTTTACCATATTTAAACTTAAACATCTTAACCGAAAAATATACGCTTTCTCTGTATATTATCAGGAGTGTTGCGTACCACATAAACGCAGTCATTAACTCTCTTTCAGTCAACTCCAGCAGCGTACATTTTCTTCCCAAACGCCTATAATTTTTGTATTAACATTTGAAATAATTATTATGCAGCGGAATATGTGTTAGTCTTGTTTAAAGCCGTTCAAAATTAGACACTTTGAGCTTCCTCTGTATAAAGTGGTTGACTCATCCGCTCGGTCTTATTTGCATAAAAGTGGGATAATTTTGGAGACATTGTGAGTCATCCAAAACATTATAAAGTCCGCTTTGTTAGGCTATGTGACAGTTAAATTACAATGCATCGTGGTGGCACAGTGTTTAGCATTCTTGCCCCATAGTCAGACAATCCCAGGTTTGATTGTTGGTGCAATTCTCTCTTTTTGCATGTTCTAACTGTGTCTGATTTACTCTAAAACATGCAATATTACTCCAATAATACTCCAGCTAGGTACTTCTGACCATGTACCTATAACTTCAAGGTACTATATTACACAAAGTAGACTCTTATGAGCTTTAAGACATGTTATAATATTTTTAGCTCATCAAAAACATACCTGGAGTTGTGTTTTGTTTCGTTCACATATGTTTGAGTAACAAATCAGGGCTTATGCTTAAGCTCTGTTCCAACTTGTGATGTCATAAAGTGGTAGTTTACACGTTTACAGCTACCTTTTACCTTTTGTTCAGTAGAGATTGGCCGTTCCGGGGTTGAAATCATCCAAATGAGTCTAGTGAAGGTGTGTGGAGTACGGGTGTGCAAAAATATCAAAATATTGTATCGTTTAATGTGTTGATACAGTATCGATATCGTGGGCAGCTGTATTGATATATCGCCAAGAGTATTTTTGGTATATTTTACTAAATTATTTTGTTACAGTGCTACAGTTTTGTTGTTTGTTTAGAAGAAGCAAACTCGTTCACGCGACACATTTGACATTTTCACTGTTTTGATGATTAAAATGTTGGTGTTTCATATTCATTTTGCACAAGACGTGGTTTAACAAAGACTTTTAGTATCACAGCCACAATTTAGCCTTTATTTTTTATTGAACCGTATCGAATTCATTTGAAATATATCGTATTGAATCGAAAGTGCACTGTAGTGAGGTATGTATCGTACCGTGGCCTATGTATTGAGGTATGTATCGTATCAGCAACTTCTTCATGATACCCAGCTCTAGTGTGGAGTTTAAAAACACAATGGAGCAATTCCTGTATTACCACATTACGTCATAAGGTGTTTTCAGTTGAGAGAAGAACGCAGCCTTAAAAATGCAAACTCCAGGTATGTTCTTGGTGAGGAAACAACATTAGAGGTCAAAATAAGTCTGCTGTGTACCGCTGTGCATCAAATAATCAGGGAGTGCGTGTTAGCATGGTAGTGGTTTTTAGCTTTACTGTGATGGAAAGACTCTGGCCTGGTTTCTGAGAGTTGTGAAGAGCACTTATAAACTCATCACAGTCAATAATAAGGCAAGTAAGAAATAACTTTGAACCTTTTTAAGAAAATCATAGACTCTAAAACTGATACTTTTAACTGATACTTTTAACAGTTTTTGCAGCTTAGGCAGGGGTGTTATTATAGACACTACTTGATATGAATAGTTTTGTTTTTATAGAAAGCATATAGCCCACTTCATGAAGTCCATAGCGTCAAGGGGTGAGTCACAACCTATATATGGGCACTAAAGTGTACCTAAACCATACTTTTTCTTATTTTCATTTTTTGTAGCTTCAGCCTCATAAAAACAGATATATAAAACTGCAGTATTATCTTGTTCCATTGTAATTTACGGCAAGTTGAGATCTTAAATGGACTGGCCCTCACTTCTAACCATATTTCTTTTGATTCCAGTGCAGTATTGATTTGAGCACGGGCTTGATTCGTTCACAGAATAAGACACCACATATTAAAGCAACAAATAATGCCTCCCCACGGTACACATGAAGTGAGCAGAATCAGATATTGAGCTACTAACCTCTACTTTATGGGGAAGGGGCCCATACAAATAACATATGTGCTGTTGGACATCTGGTGTATGTTGGTTGTTATGGTACTCTATTGCAAAAGCTAATATGATTTACAAATGTACAAATAATGCAAAATAGGTGTCCTTTAAGGGACAGTGTCTATACTATAGATGAAAAATAGCCTTCGGACTAATTCTGGCATATTTACAAGTATACGTTCATGAATATGCATTGTCCCTTTTAAATAAATAAAACTAAAAAAAAAAAAAAAAAGTCAAGAATTTTGGACATAGGAGCCAGAGTGTTGGAGATGTGTGGAGACGCTTTTTTAAATATTGCATCCACTCCTTGTATTTGCAGAGGTCGCTGGTGCTAGGCTAGTGCAAGTCAATGGCCATAGTTAGCCTGCCACTAAAAACAGTCTTACCCACTCCACAAAGCATCCAAAACAAATCTATTATTACATCAGCCAACCTTGCATTTGAAGGATATATGTCTGAGCAGCAGCAGTGAGTTGTACTTCCTGATAGAAAGCTCGGCAGCAGCGGACTAATATCACCTACTTTATCGGCAAAGTAAAATTCCGCTGCTGCTGAGGAAATAGTCCCTCAACATGCGATGATTCATGTGATGCAAGGTTAGTTTTATTTCAAACATTATTCTATCAACACAGATAGTTACATCGACAGTCTGGTGTAATAATAGATTTGTTTCGGGTGTTTTGTGGAGTGGGTAAAACTGTTTTAGTGCAAAATACAAGGACTGGATGGAAAAAAAAAGTGTCTCCACATGTCCCCAACACTCTGGCTACCTAGGAAATGAGGCCCTATGTCCAAAATTCCGGACTGTCCGTTTAAAGGCCCGATTTTCCCCATGTACTTTTGCCAATTTACTTAATAATACGACCCAAATGATGATGGCGGAGAGCATGGGACTTCAAAAATAAGGTTAATATGTATTATAAAAAGGAATAACTTCATGACCTTTAAAATGAACTAGTTCTGTTTTTCAAGTTAAAATAATAAAAATCAGTCACAGTGCTTTTAATATAATAAAACTCTTAACTGACCTTGTATGGAGACCTTGGGGTGCTCTTTCTTGGTGCACTCCGGATGGCTAAGCGGATCAAATGGACTGGGACTTGGACTAGGGCTTGGACTTGGACTCTCCTCTGAGGTCTGGGTTAGTCCTGTCCTGACGGAGACGAGCAGGAGGAAAAGGAGCAGCGGGGTCGTCATGGCGCCCGCACACCTGCTGCAGCGTCCCGGGCCGACCAGAGGGGGCGCTGTCATGGTAAAGACCTCTCCACTAACTGCCGAGCTTGGATTCTGACATGCAGCTGTGAAGAGAGAGAAACAAGAGGGGAAAGTTAGGCTCGTGTGTCTGTATAGTAACAAGGGTTGTCAAAAGTGTCAAAAATCGGTTACTAATCGATGTAAAACTAGGATCGAAACTAGATACTCATTTAAGCAAGTATCGATACTGAAAAAATCGCACTCACAGGACTGATCTTGAACTATATCAGAACAAGTATAAGTATATTTGAATGTTGAAATGTCCTCAAAGTTTCACCTATAACAAGAGACTGAAACCCATGAATATTCTTACAACAGTATTACAGTGCCCCCAGGTCAACTTACAGATCAGATCTATGGTGAGGCAAGCCCACTCACAGTAAGAAAGCATGTTTTTCAGGGTACTTTGAGTATTGCCCATAGACTGTATAAGTGTATGAGTATAAGTGGACTAAGGGAGCGTGACGTCACCTACACCAGTGTTTCCCGAACTTTTTTCTGGTGACCCATATTTTAAAAAGTCACAAACCTTCGCAACCCAAGTCAACAGACATTATTCATAAATCACTAAAATAAAGGTGGATTTGACCATTATTGAACATTAAAGGGGATATTTTATTGTTGACTGAGTGATCATGTGTGTCAAAACAATTAGTATTACTCAAGTTTTAAACAATGAAAAACACTCATTGAACCAGCAATAAAAGGATCCATAAGTCGCCTATTTGGACATTAACTGTAGCCCATTTCTTTTTCTTTTCAACATTCAATAGTTTAACATTCAGTATATTCATGTTACGTCACAAACCAGGGAGACGTTTGGAAAGATTTGATTACAGCTTCCGATGTAGTTACCAACACTGGGCTCGCCGACCGACTGAGATAAAATCCATTGAAGTAAATGTGATCAGCGGTAAAATGAAGACTGCATACGTATGTGCTGTTTGGAATCATCTTGAGTTTGGCACCCTCATCTCTTCTAATCACATCTACCCAGTGCGCTTGGAGTTCTGTGTCAGTCGGGAAATTATGAAAACTGAGGTATGGTTGTAATTGTTGATTAGCCGAACATAATAGAATGATACAGTGACGCGTAGATGAAGAAAACTGGACCTGGGAGGCAGTAAACGCATCTTTCTAAACGTCTTCCTGGTTTGTGACATAAGCGTGAATAGAGTCAATAAAATAATACAAAACATGTCTTTACATTTCAACATTTCTAATGAGATATGTGGGCCTGTCTGCGTTTTTGTAGTGTGTTCCAATCCGGGCTGCAGGTGGAGAGCGCAACAGCAGATCAGGCACATTATTCAGTCTGTTTCTGAGCTTTGTCTTCATTTTTGTGAGCACAGAAAATCCCAATTCACACATATATGTAGTAGTGAAAGGAATAAGCATAGAAACACTGACTCTACCGAGGACAGGATATTCTGACAAAATGCTGATCCAGAATGATAATAATATATTCCGCTGACTCACTCACTCTCTCATGTGTCAGAACTGTATATTGCAGACCTACATGCACATCGTGACAAGGCGACCCGAAAAAAATCTCTTGCGACCCACCTGAGGGAAACAATGACCTATAGCGTTCGAATCAAATGATGCTCATGAGTTCAGCAGTTAAAGGAACAAATTTGGAGTTCCACAATGGGAATAAGAATTGATTTACGGACAAAACAGCAAAATAAAAACACCAGGATCATGTCGAGAATGGGTTAATGAGAACATTTTAAGACCAAAATGACAAAGCTCACTGCAGCAGTTACCAAGAGACGTGACAATTTCTCTATGTAAAGTCAACTGGAGCCAGAATCGATGAAGCCGGAAGTTAGTTATGTCCATTTATATATACAGTGGAACATTACAAAGGACATCTCTACAAGCAGGTTGGCAAAGAATAGAAAAGTTACAGAATGCAACTTTAACCAATGCAAACTTTTTATAGGCAACCCCACCATCTGATCCCAAAGCAATAACAACCCTAAAAATCCATTAAAACCCCATCGCACTCTATTACGAGTTTCATTTTAATATACAGTTGTGGACAGGCTGTGATTACACGTATTAATTCTGCCAGTATACCAGAATTGTGCATGCCCCAGTGCGTTTGTGTGCAATAAGCTGTGTTTTGTGCAGAGCTGAGGGCGTAGACAGTCACCTCCTCTGTGTTTGAACTCAATAGACTCGTGCATCATTGACTCCTGTGAATGTCTGGCTCATTGAACAAACCACGGGGACGTTTTTTACACTTTTAATCGCCCATTTCACAAACTCCACACAAAGTTTAATTGCACATTTAAAATAATTATGTTTGGGTCAGGGGTTGTGTGGTTTTCCTGTTGACTCAGTGCGATGTTGTGAAGGAGTTTGAATGAGGTTTTGTGTACTCTTTGTCTCAAGGAAATTACAGTTGGACTTCTGAAAGAAAGTTACATTAAAGTGCATTTGAAAGATTCATGTTTTTGTTTTTTTTTCTAATTATGACTTGCTTTTTGTGGTGGAGCATCATTGCAGTGGCAGTGTGTGAATCATATTTAGAGGAAAAGTACAAAGAAACAGGAACTGGCAGTGACTTCTAAAACTGAATCCCTCGAACTATGTGATCAACTGTCAATCTCTATCAATTTTATCGAATATACAGGGACAATTTATGGACAAGAAGGCATTTGTCTGATTGTTTAAACATTTATTTAACAAAATAAAGGTGTCATTGTTTATTTTATTTGTCAAATAATAACTATTGTGTAATTTAGACAAGTTTGTTAACATTATGGGGGCTAGGTAACGCCACAGACTGTAAATATAAATGGACATAGTGGACATAATCACAGGGTTCCATACAGGAAGTGTATCGTGACTTCTGACTCCATCACCTCTCTCTCTGTAGCCGCTGCAGTGAGTCATTTTGATCTTAAAATTTTCATATTAACCCACCCTACATGATCCTGGGGTTTTTATTTTGCCATTTTTTCCTAACTCGGCTATACAGGAAGAACAACCCATCTAAAAACTAGTGCAAAAACAAATATGCCAAATTCCATAAGGTCTTTTTTACTGAAGTGCAAAGACGTGGGCAGCTCATGTGGAACAAAGTGCTTCTGCCACATTTAAAAAAAAATATATCCCTATATACTAAAATAATAATTTAACTGTAAAATAAAGGAAGAAATAATACATATTGCCTTCCTTTCATACAAAAATAAAACAACTCAACTCAACTGAAGCTCATCTTTGCATCAACTCTTTATATCATACGTTAACCATAACCATGAGCTCGCGAGGTTCCTTATCAGCAGTAAGGAGCTATGAGCCACTGCACAGCTCAAACCGAATGTTTCCAAATACTGTCGTACAAGTTCTACACTGCAGCAGATTATGAATTAAAATATTCTGCATGAATAAACTTTACATTACTAAACTTTACAACATATAAACCTTAACGACTATAGAGCCACATCAGCCAATGAATCAAAACGCAACTCCAGGTACCGTATTCGGACTATAAGGTGCACCAGATGATAAGGCGCAATATCAATAATGTTGAATTCTCTCATCTATTGTCATACCTAAGGTGCACCGGATTATAAAGCGCATTAAGCAAAACAAATGAACGACACTTGAGACTGAGACCTTAACTCAGGCATCCACGATCCATTGACAGATCGTGGTGTAATTCGCCCAGCGTTGCCTCCCTGTCTTGGTGAATGTGGGTGGATAATTTAAGTTTTTTTGTTTGTTTTTTTTTTCCTATGACGAGAACTCAAATATACATTGAGTAATAATGTGTTTAATGCAGCTTTGCGCACATGTGCTTATGTTTTACAGAAATGAAACTTAAAACCACATGGCTCATTTGCATAAACTGTAAGTGCTGAACAAAATAGCTCACTCCTTGTGCACAGATGCGGTCAGGTTCTGTCAGTCTAAAGGACACGACTCAGTGTAATATGTGTGTTCTCTCTGACAGAGGACGTGCTGCTGAGGGTGAGTCTGTAAATGGTAGAAAAGGTTCGTGGTGCTAGAAGCTTTGGATGGCACCAATTTTCAGCATTCACGGCGGTAGTGAGTAGTGAATGAGACATGTGAGGAGAGAGGTAACAAAATCAAGGAGGCGAGGCCGAGCGAGAGTGATATATATGATATGTCCAAATCCATTTAGTGTTTAAAAAATATCTCGATATGTTTAAAATATCGAGATATCGCTCACCCCTAGATGACGTCACACTCCCCTAAGTCCACTTCTTTATACAGTCTATGGTCATATCTTCTTGTGTCCAATCAGGAAATAAAATTATAACCTTCACCACAATTACAAAACTAGAAAAGACTAGGTAAGACAGTTAGTAAAGTCTACAAAATGTTAGCTCTGTTTTAGTGAAATGAGCAGTCAAATCTGCCAGAGGCACTGTAAAACACATACAGACATTTTAACCTCACAATTTCGACTCTACAAACATCTGACGCTGCTCCCAAGATGGCTCATTTACTTTGCCACTTTTTTGGCTCTGAAAAATTCAATACAATGAATAAATAAATGCGTTTGACTGGCCATTTGTCAACCCTGATGCACCGTGCTAGCTTCGCCAAACGTACAATATAATTAAACTTGATTAAAACACACAGCGTCAACTTATGGCACTGCTTTGACTTGGCCACATCCGGTGGTGGCTAATGCTACGATCAATAACACATTATTAGCTTGGTTGAGTTGCAAATCAACCACATTAATCCACGATCAATTAACCCCGAACTGGAGCTGTTAACGAAGGAGACAAACGCATTACAATAGGCTGGAGTCAACAGGAATATCGCTACAGGCTACATGTACTGTGAATAATTAAGAGCGGAGAGAATATAGTGACCAAGCATTTTAGTAGAGACAATAGGCATCATTTAAAGGTGCACTATGTAACTTTTATGAGGGGGATCCATTATCTGCTTGTCTCCATGGAGATGTGAGAATATGCCATTACACTGATCTATTTTGACTTCTTCAATTAAACACTGGTGGAATGTAATAAAATAAAAGTAGTAAAGTATT